ATCAATTATTTTTTAGTAAAAAATCAGAATAGAATATTTATTAGCCTATAAGTTTTGAATACCTCCTGCAAAATCAGAGACACGTTATTCTAAAGCAAATCTAACAGATCATTTGAAGCAAAAATATTATCAAGAAACATTAACTTTACCACAAAGTATAGCAATCAAAGTGCTTTCCAAAATCTTATCTAATGCTAACAATCATTGTATTATATAATCAGTTAAACCCCCAGAGTATAGGGAGAAAACATACACTTGACCATTTTCAATCACAAGTTCTTTAGAGAATAAAATATTCTTTGAACAAAACCTCATGAGAACTAGAATTCCCTTTTCAATATATGGTCTCTCCTAGAGCTGTAACTAAATATTACTGAGTGGCAGAAAAACAAATCTCAAGAAATGATGGACTTAAAAAAATTTCATTGTAGAAAGCACAAAGCAAATCCTAATAATACCAATTTTAAAATGATAGCTCCCCTGCTTCGAGAGAAGCAAATATAAATACTCACAGTAATGACTAAAAGACCCAACTGGATATGTTGAGCCTCTGATGGACTTTAATAAGCATAATCACTAAGCAACTTAAATTAGAAAGTCAGTTTTATTTAGTAGTTGATTAAATCATTATTAAATTCATAGATTGTGAAATTAATAGTTCAATTTTAATCAAAACTTTTTAAAGTCAAATTCGATAGTGTATAACACAGAACACAAAACTAATTTTGTTAAATCTTTAGATGTCCTCTATTTAAATTCTATTAATTATGGCATTAAATATAATAACAACATGCCATTCATTTACCAATCATATCTTTCAAACCCATACATTGAATAGGAGATTTTTCATTAATATAAAAGTAAAATTAAAGTCATCTGGGGGCGCCTGGCTGGCTCAGTCAGCTAAGTGTCTGCCTTCAGCTCAGGTCATGAACTCAGGGTCCTGGGATCGAGCCCCCGCTTCTCCCTCTCCCTCTGCTCCACCCCAATGCTTGTGCTCTCTCCCTCCCTCTCTCTCTCTCAAATAAATAAATAAAATCTTTAAAATATAATAAAATGAAGGGGGGAAATCGGAGGGGGAGACGAACCATGAGAGACTATGGACTCTGAGAAACTGAGGGTTCTAGATGGGAGGGGGGTGGGGGGGATGGGTTAGCCTGGTGATGGGTATTAAAGAGGGCACGTACTGCATGGAGCACTGGGTGTTTACGCAAACAATGAATCATGGAACACTACATCAAAAACTAATGATGTAATGTATGGTGATTAACATAACAAAATAAAATTTTAAAAAAATTTTACAGGTTGTAAGATCAGACACACACACACACACAAAATATAATAAAATTTTAAAAAGCCATCTGGGTTTATATTTCTTAAATACCAACAAAGGACTCAACATACTCAGTTTGGACCTTTCCAAAATTATGTTCTATATTTGTATTATATCTCCCAAAACAGGGGAGCTATCACTTTCCAACTGGTTTATTAACACTTCATGTATCCTGACCCCCTCCAGCTCTAAAAAGCTTAGTTACACACTTAGTTATACTAAGTTATACAACTATTATTTTTAAGTCTCAAAACTTCCTGAAGTCTTTGCATATTATTAATAACCCCATGATCTCACTAGTAAACCTACAGAGGAAAGTGGCTTTATTTTTCTCTTGCAATGCAACAGAGAAAATAAAGACTAAGACTTGAATAATGACCATGAACATGACCTAGACTGGAAAACAATCTGTTACCTCAAAGGGAGAGAAAAATTATCCATAGGTAATTTATGCTTCCCAACTATATTCTATAAAATGCTTAAACTAGGGGCGCCTGGGTGGCTCAGTCGTTAAGCGTCTGCCTTCGGCTCAGGTCATGATCCCAGGGTCCTGGGATCGAGCCCCACATCGGGCTCCCTGCTCTGTGGGAAGCCTGCTTCTCCCTCTCCCACTCCCCCTGCTTGTGTTCCCTCTCTCGCTGTGTATCTCTCTGTCAAATAAATAAATAAAATCTTTAAAAAAAAATGCTTAAACTATTATGTTCAAAAGACATATAAGTGTGGGAAATACACACTGAAGTACATGGGATCGTGAGATGTCATTAAAACAGTTTCATTTCCAAAAGCAAAAGGTAAAATCTTCCTCTTAAGTCATTTTCTCTTCAGTCAAAACCAATTATGAATTCAAAGCAAATATAATAATAGCCAGCTTTAAGGATACAAAATTAGAAAAACTTGATTTTTTTATGGTTCCAAATTTTTAATTTGACAGATTTCTCTTTTGAGAAAAATTTTTGAAAAACTTTCCCCCCACCCCAAAGCCACTAATCTATTGGAAAAAAAAAAAAAAACAATAAAGGATATGTACAAGAAAAATATATTTAGGAAAAGTGCTAGATGAATTTTTTATAAAAAAGAAAAACACTGTACTTACTATGTAAAGTAACAGTATTTCCATTAAATAAAATTTCATTAAATAATTCTTAAATTTCATATTATGGCCAGGTAAAGTGATAGAGAACAACAGTTCTAATCAGAAAACAGAACAAGTTAGAAAGCTCATTATAGGGAATGGGGGGAAAAAAGAGGAGCAAAAGAAACAAAGATGGAAGAAAATAAGACATAAAGCTATGGATTTAAGAGACATGAAAAATAGGAAAGTATAGTTAGGTTAAAGCATATAAAACTGTAGAACACTTAGGTGCAACCTGAATCATCAGCTCTTCAGCAAGGAACTATTATTCACGGATCTGCAACATCCATCAAGCTTTGCAGAAACAATTAGTCTTCAATCTTCCACACTATGATCAGAACAATAGTGCTTCATAGGATGAGGCCCAAACAAGCCAACAGAGGTTGCCCATGAGCTGCAACTTGCCTTATTTCAGTCAGACCAGTGTGCCAAATCGTAAAAGTTGAAAAAGAAAAACGTATTAGCACCAAGTGAAATTTTTTCATCACCAAGCACAGTACCCTCCATGGTGAATTAAGCCAATCTTCTTTTATTTGTATCTAGTCACTGGAATGCTAGAAGGCCAAATTAGGATGAATTCATGCAACCTATATTGGTGACTGTCTCCCCTGTGGCATTCTTAGTTATAACTCTGGCTAACTTTCCAAATACAGGGTCTATAAGAAAGAAGACCAAATCCGTGACTCAGTCAATGGCTCTGACATGTTTTTCTCCACCACTGATTCACCTCCTGAGCCAGGAGTCAAGAGGTAGGATAGCCCGTGAAATTTAGGGCAGCACCTAAGAGTGGACAGGCAATGAACAGAGAGCCCAAACTTCCTAAAACTCCACATCCAAAATACTCAAACTACAAATGCAACCAAACAGTGAACAATAGTATCAGTCCCTGAATCAGAACACATTGAGTATCTTGGGTTGGATGAAGACCACATATAACATTAGATCATTTGAAAGGGATAGAGTTTAATTTGTAACCCATCACCACCTTTGATCTGGGCAGCAGTGATTTGACCACCACTTCCTAATATAACCTGGAGTGTCCATCTTTTTTTGACAGGAGAAAAAATATTCATTTTCTTCAATAACTGATATCACTAAGAGTTGAAAGTGAAGTAGCCAAGTCTCTGCAGAAGGGATTCATGTGGGGATAAGACAAAGAAGACACGGGGTGTTACTCTAGATGCCACGCCCTCCCTCTTGGGATTCCCAGCAAACTGCAGAATAGCAGTGTGCCGCATCAGCCAAATACATGCATCCAATGAATGTTTAGGGGGGCAAGCACTACAGTGGAATCTTCATTGTATGTACAATGAATTACATGAACCTCAATGCATTCACAATCTCTTGGGAGAGATAATACACGTCAGATGTGGGTGAGTGTTACGCTAAACTATGATGAAGATGCTAACTAAGTATGAAAGAAACACAAAGTTGGGGGGCAACTGGGTGGCTCAATCAGTTAGGTGTCTGCCTTTGGCTCAGGTCATGATCTCAGGGTGCTGTGACTGAGCCCCATGTCAGGCTCCCTGCTCAGTGGGGTGTCTGCTTCTCCCTCTCCCTCTGCCCCTCTCCCCCAATTGTGCTCTCTCTCTGCTCTCAAATAAATAAAACCTTTAAAAAATTTTTTTAAAAAGAAACACAAAGTTGGGAAAAGGCAAAATTCTGACTAGGGAGAGTGGGGAAAGAGGGAATCATGGAAGGCTTCACAGATTGCAAGCTGTCAGAGTGGGGCATTACAGGATACATAGGAGTTTACTAATGGAACAAAAGAAAAGGAGCAGCTCAGTCCATGTGGGTCAAAAACATGAACAGCCTGAACGAAAGCAAGAAGATACGAAAATATACAATGTGTTTAGGAAGCCAAGAGTACCCTAGGGGGCTGAAGCAAGAGAGAGGACAGTAGACACAGAAGAAGCTGGAAGAATTAACATGAAGCCACAAAGAAAGGGGCCTTAGATTATATGGCAAGAAGCTGAACTTCATTCTGAAAACAACAAGGAGACATTGATGGTTGTTTAATAAAGTGAGGATGACAAGATCAGATCAATATCTCAGGAAGACAAATGTGGTGATGGTATGAAAGCTGGATGATTGGGGAATGGAAACAAAATGATCAGGTACAAAATGACTACAACTTACAACCCCTGATCTCCCTCTCACCTAGGTAACAATGAGGAAAGAAAGAAAGGAAGGAAGGAAGGAAGGAAGGAAGGAAGAAAGAAAGAGAAAGAAAGAAAGAAAGAGAGGAAGGAAGGAAAGAAAACCCCTGAATAAATTCTAAAATAGTCTATAATTGAGTTTTCACTAATTCAATTAGTTTCCCCGATTTCCCAATGTTTCTAAAGAAGAGAGGTTTTACTACATACAATTTGTTGTAATCAGCATCTCTGGTTTTGAAATTTTACATCAATGGCACTAAAATTACTTTCATGCTATTATCTCATGGCATGTAGTGGGGGGAAGGGGGGAAACCTGTTAAACATCAAATTTGACCCAATAAAGTAATTGCCATAGGGTTTTCTTTTTTATCCTTACCATTACAAGTTCTTCCTGTAATTCACTGCAACTTTTTTCATTATACTGGAGTCTCTTTGAAAGGTCTATAATTACTTTCTTCTGTTCCTCGATCTCTTCATTTAGTTTCTTGTTTTTGGAGACATACTCTCTTTCTAATCTGAAAAAAAGTGTTAGAGCAGATTTTTCAAATATGGTTTTATAAGTCCTATTATAATGCTTTAACGCGACTGGCAGATGTATTATCTATCATGTTTTTGTGCCAAAGGCCACCTCTCATTTTTTTCAAACAAAAAGGATTGCATAGTCTTAAATGGAAGACTTTAAAGGAATAATACCTCACCCATTTCATTAGCAGATATTTTACTACGCCCAAGGTTATAAACAAAATCTATTTGGTTAGTGTTGATTTGGTCTCACCATTATTTTTGATGAACAAAACCCACCCACCATAGTTCAATTAGCTCAGAAACTGCCTCAAGACAGAAAAGTTTCTAACAAAAAATTTTCAAATTAAACTATAACATTAGAAACGGAACAAATGTTTTATTCCTGAATGTCCATGCAAGTGGAACTAATGTGATGGAGAATGGAAAATCCAAAAGAAAGAATCATCAAAAATCATTCACATTCACTGTGAAAACACATGAAATTCTTTACTTTTGGGGGTTTTTTTTCAAGTTTTTATTTAAATTCCACTTAGTTAACATACAGTGTAATATTAGTTTCAGGTGTAGAATTTAGTGATTCATCACTTCCATACAATACCCAGTGCTCATCACAAGTGCTTTCCTTAATGCCCATCACCCATTTAACCCATTCCCCTGCCCACCTCCGCCTCCCATCAGGAACCTTCAGTTTGTTCTCTATGGTTAAGAGTCTCTTATGGTTTGTCTCCCTCTCTTTTTTTCCCCCTATGTTCATCTGTTTTGTTTCTTAAATTCTACACATAAATGAAATCATATGGGGCACCTGGTGGCACTGTAGGTTGGGCATCTGACTCTTGGTTTCAGCTCAGGTCATGATCTCAGGGTTGTGAGATCGAGCCCCACATCCGGTTCCATGCTCAGCATAGAGTCGGCTTGAGATTCTCTCTCCCTCCCCCTCTGCCCCTCCCATTCATGCATGCTCTCGCTCTCGCTCTCGCTCTCTCTCTCTCTCAAATAAATAATCTTTTTTTAAAAAAAGAAAAAGAAGTTGCTACAGACGATGTCAAAGAGGTGACTATGTTCTCCTCTAGGATTTTGATGGTTTCCTGTCTCACTTTTAAGTCTTACATCCATTTTTAATTTATTTTTGTGTATGGTGTAAGAATGTGGTCCAGTTTTATTCTTTTGCATGTTGCTGTCCAGTTTTCCCAACACCATTTGTTGAAGAGACTATCTTTTTTTCATTGAATTTTCTTTCCTGCTTTGCCAAAGATTTGTTGACCATCCAGTTGTGGGTTTTCTATTTCTGGGTTTCTGGGTTTTCTATTCTGTTCCATTGATTTATGTCTGTTTTGGAGCCAGTACCACACTGTCTTGATCCCTATAGCTTTTTAATATAACTTCAAGTCCAGAATTGTGATGCCCCCAGTTCTACTTCTCTTTTTCAAGATTTCTTTGACTATTCGGGGTCTTTTTTGATTCCATACAAATTTTAGGATTGTTTGTTCTAGCTCTGTGAAAAATGCTGGTGGTATTTTGGTAGGGATTATATTAAATGTGTAGATTTCTTTGGGTAGGATAGACATTTTAACAATATTTGTTCTTTCAATCCATGAGAAGTGGAATGTTTTTCCATTTCTTTGTGTCATCTTTGATTTCTGTCTTAAGTGTTTTACAGTTTTCAAAGTTCATTAAGTTTAATCCTAAGTATCTTATGGTTTTTGGTACAATTGTAAATGGGATCGATTTCTCGATTTTTCTTTCTGCTGCTTCATTATTGGTGTATAGAAATGCAACAGATTTCTGAATGTTGATTTTATATCCTGAGACTTTACTGAATTCGTGTATCAGTTCTAGCAATTTTTCGGTGGAGTCTTTCAGGTTTTCTACATAGAGTATCATGTTATCTGTAAAGAGTGAATGTTTGACTTTCTTCCTTGCCGATTTGGATGCCTTTTATTTCTTTTTATTGTCTGAAGGCTGAAGCTAGGACTTCCAGTGAAAGAAGTGGTTAGATTAAATAACAGTGATAAGAATGTACATACCTATCTTGTTCCTGACCATATAGGAAAAGCTCTCAGTTTTTCCCCACTGAGGATGATATTAGCTGTGGGTTTTTCATATATGGTCTTTATTATGTTGAGGTGTGTTGCCTCTATCCCTACTTTGTTGAGGACTTCTCTCAAGAATGGATGCTGTACTTTGTCAAATGTTTTTTCTGTATCTATTGAGAAGATCATATGGTTCTTATCCTTTCTCTTATTAATGTGGTGTATCATGTTGATTGACTTGCAAATACTGAACCACCGTTGCAACCCAGGAATAAATCCCACTTGATCGTGGTGAATGATTCTTTTAATTTAGTGTTGGATTTGATTTGCTAGTATTTTCTTGAGAATTTTTACATCCATGTTCATCAGGGATATTGGCCTATAGATCTCTTTTTTAGTGGAGTCTTTTTCTGGTTTTGGAATCAGGGTAATGCTGACCTCATAGAATGAGTTTGGAAGTTTTCCTTCCATTTCTATTCTTTGAAATAGTTTGAGAAGAATAGGTATTAAGTTTTCTTTCAATGTTTGGTAGAATTCCCCTGTGAAGTCATCTGGCCCTGGACTTTTGTTTGTTGGAAGATTTTTGATTACTGATTCAATTTCTTTGCTGGCTATCAGTCTGTTCAATTTTTCTATTTCTCCCTATTTCAATTTTGGTAGTTTATATGTTTCTAGGAACTTACCCATTTCTTCCAAATTGTCCAATTTATTGACATACAATTTTTTCATAATATTCTCTTATAATTGTTTGTATTTCTGTGGTTTTGGTTGTTATTTCTCCTCTCTCATTCGTGCTTTTATTTATTGGTTCCTTTCTCTTCTTTTGGATAAGTCTGGTGATGGATTTATCATTTTATCAATTTTTTCAAAGAACCAGCTCCTGGTTTCATTGAACTGTTCTACTGGGCTTTTTTTGTTTGTTTGTTTCTGTATCATTTATTTCTGCCCTAATCTTTATTATTTCTCTTCTTCTGCTGGCCTTAGGCTTCATTTGTTGTTCTTTTTCTAGCTTCTTTAAGTATAAGGTTAGGTTGCTTGAGATTTTTCTTACTTCTTGAAGTTGGCCTGTATTGCTATATACTTCCCTCCTAGGACCACTTTTGCTACATCAAAGGTTTTGGACCATTGTGTTTTCATTTTCATTTGCTTCCACGTTTTTTTTTTTTTAATTTTTTCTTTAATTTCCTGGTTGACCCATCCATCCTTTAGTAGGATCTTCTTTAACCTCCATGTATTTGTGGTCTTTCTAGATTTTTTTCTTGTGGATCATTTCAAGTTTCATAGTGTTGTGCTTGGAAAATATGCATGAATGATATGATCTCAATCTTTTTGTACTTGTTGAGCCCTGATTTGTGACCTAGTATGTGATCTCCTCTGGAGAATGCCCCATGTGCACTTAAAAAGAATATGTATTCTGCCCTTTAGGATGATATGTTCTGAATGAATATATCTGTTAAGGCCATCTGGTCCAGTGTGTCATTAAAAGCCATTGTTCCCTTGTTGATTTTCTATTTAAATGATCTGTCTATTGATGTAAGTGGGATGTTAAGTCCCCTACTATTATTGTATTATTATGAGTTCCTTTATGTTTGTTATTAATTGTTTTATATATTTGGGTGCTCCCAAGTTGGGAGCATAAATATCCACAATTGTTAGATCTTCTTGTTGGATAGACCCCTTAATTATGATGTAATGCCCTTCTTCATCTCTTGTTAGAGTCTTTGGTTTAAAATCAAGTCTGTCTGGGGGTGCCTGGGTGGCGCAGTTGGTTGAGCATCTGACTCTTAGTTTCAGCTCAGGTTGTGATCTCAGGGTCTTGGGATCAAGCCCCACATCAGGCTCTGCGCTCAGGGTGGAGTCTGCTTGGGATTCTCTCTCTCTCTCCCTCTGTTCCTCCTACTCATGCTCTCACTCTCTCTAAAATAAATAAATAAATCTTTTTTAAAAAAATTTTAATTAAAATAAATAAGTAAAATCTAGTTTGTCTGATATAAGTATGGCTCCTCTGGCCTTCTTTTGATGTGCTTTTGCATGATAAATGTTTTTCCATCTGCTCACTTCCAATCTGCAGGTGTCTTTGGGTCTAAAATGAGTCTCTTGGGGCACCTGGCGACTCAACTGGTAGAGCATGCAACTCTTGATCTCAGAGCTGTAAGTTCGAGCCCATGTGGGGTGTAGAGATTACTTAAAAATAAAATCTTTTAAAAATAAATATAAAATGAGTCTCTTGTAGGCAACATACAGATGGGTCATGTTTTTTTTATCCATTCTGACACCCTATGTCTTTTGATTGGAGCATTTAATCCACTTACATTCAGAGTAATTATTGATAGATATGAATTTGGTGCCACTTTATTACTTGTTTTGTCATTGTTTCTGAAGATCTTCTCTGTTCCTTTCTAGTCTTTGTTGCTTTTGGTCTTTCTTTCCCACTAGAAGAGTCCCCTTTAATATTTCTTGCAGGGCTGGTTTAGTGGTCACAAACTCCTTTAGTTTTTGTTGTGTGGGAAACTCTTTATCTTTCCTTCTATTCTGAATGACAGCCTTGCTGGATAGATTATTCTTGACTGCAGATTTTTCCCATTCAGCATGTTGAATATATCATGCCCCTCTCTTCTGGCCTGCCAAGTTTCTGTAGAAAGATCTGCTGCTAACTTTATTGGTTTTCCCTTATGTCTTGATGCTTTCAGGATTTTTTCTTTATTTCTATATTTTGCAAATTTAACTACACTATGTCTTGTTGTTGGCCTGCTTTTGTTGATTTTGATGGGAGTTCTCGGTGCCTCCGGGATTTGGGTGTCTGTTTCCTTCCCCAGATTAGGGAAGTTTTCAGCTATAATTTCCTCAAGCAAACTTTCTGCCCCTTTTTCTCTCTCTTCTTTTTCTGGGACTCCTATGATATGAATGTTATTACACTTTTTGGAGTCACTGAGTTCCCTAAGTCTACTTCTGTGATCTAA